GTAATAACACAGCAGATGAAAAGTAATGTGGAAATACTGACTTGGGTAGGAGGAGCTAATGTGCAGAATATTTCTATTATAAGAGGTTGGAAATGTACAAAGGGAACTGGGTGTCCTTGTCAATAAGCCACTAGAGGCTAGTATGGAGGTACAAGCAATTAGAAAGGTAAATAATATGTTGGCCCTTACCTTAAGAGGATTTGAGTACAGTCTTGTTTCAATATACAACCTTGGTTAGCCTGTACCTGGGGTATTGTGTGTAGTTTTGGACCCCTTACCTCAGAAAGGATATTATTACCTTTGATGCATTGCAGCAAAGATTCACCAGACTTGTTCCCAGGCTGGTGTGACTGTCCTAAGGAGAGAGAGTGGGGAAACTGGGTCTGAAGAATTAGAGAAGATCTCACTTAAAATCACAAAATACTGTAAAAGATAAGCAGGTAGATGCAGTTAAGATATTTCTCCTGGTTGGGGAGTGCAGAACCAGGGGCACAATTTTAGAATAAGGGGAAACCACTTAAGATCATGATGAAGAGATTACTTTTTACTCAGAAGGTTGTGAATCTTTAAAATTCTCTACCACAGTGGTCTGTGGAGGCTCAATCATTGAGTGTATTTAGACATTGACAGATTTCTAAATATTAATGATGTAAAGGAATATGGAGATAGTGTGCAAAAAAGGCATTGAAGTGAATGATCAGCCATGATCATATTGAATGGTTGAGCAGGCTCAACACCCCGAATGGCCTATACCTGTTCCTATGAGGGCACTTTGTGTTTAAATCTCTCCAAATATATTCCAAATATGGATATTTCGCTTCTACAGACTGCAAAACTTCAAGCAGATAATTGACAAGCTGCAAAGCGATAATACATGCCCTTGAAGTATACCTGGACACAAATGGAGATAAACAGCTTCCACTTATGTGGCGTGCTACCTATTGCCAGGATGTCCCACGGTATATCTTATCCAAATAGTTAAGCTTTAAGGAACAGTAGTCATACAGACAAACATGGTGGCCAGTTTACATGTAACAGGATCCCACCACAATCCATTAATTGTTTTTTAATAGCGTTAGTTAAAGAGAGAATAATGGGAGAACTCCTTTGCAACAAAAAGAAATCATAGCAGGATACAGGCATTTCATTTGAAAGACAGCACTGATTACAACACACTGAGTGCTGAACTTCCAGCTGCAGTTCTGTCTTATGCTGCACTGAAGTACCAGCCTCGATAAAGTGCTGAAACCCAGGAGCAGGGCTTGAGCCCACCACGTTCTGATTCTGAGACAAGAGTGCTACCAACTGAGACGAGCTGACAGTATAATGGAGAAATATTAGTTGATGAGACCTGAGGCACTTAGTTTGCTGCTCAGCATGCGCATATGGATTATTCAATATTGGTTAGAGTCCAAATATTCAGCAGAATCTTTCATAATTATCGGAGAGACGCTGAAGGAATATAGAAACAAAATTAATTAGTTTCTGCTCCTGCCAGGAAGGGAAAGCTATGAGCTACTAAATAAGATAAAGGAAATGGCAGTGGTGTAATCCTGGTTCATCCTTAATACTCAGAGTTAAGATGGTTCTAAATAGAATTTAACTCCTTGTGGAGCAGGTACTGAGCTGCCTTAAGAGTAAGAGCTGGAGGATTGTGATAAGGCAATTCAATCAGGATCATGTGATTTTGGCCACACTGTAAATGTAATTGTATTGGATTAGCTCCTGAAAATCAGGAGAGGTGTGTAACAAGCAACTGATTGGGTCCCTTCTATGCTATTCTTTCAAATCGAAATATCCCCCATAATATATTTTTATAAAATCCTGACAGTGCACTTTGCCCTAATGGCTGCTCAGTTTGGAACTAACAGCCTGAAAAAAATGCCTGATTTAACTCTCAGCCTATCCTAAGTCAACTGATCCTAGCTAGGTCTGGCAGACATGATAAAACAGCCTGCAGTGCCTATGGGTTTGGGAGGATCGAATAACATCAGCCAAAATTGGGAGAAAACAACAGAAGGATATGCAGATAAGTTTCAATGAAGAAGTGTGGGAGCAGGCTTGTTTGGAGAATAAACACTGACCCAAAATGTGAAAGCCTTCATATTGTATCTTGTTCTCTCCTGTACATTCTATGCAATAGATACTCACACACATTGAACTGTTAACTAGTGTGAGTTACCACTGTCAGAGTGAAATGAAAAAGAAAAGTTTAGAAAACCGATGGCATCTCTGGTATGTATCATAAAAAATATCTGTTTTGGTATTTCCCTAAATGATATGTAGAAGAAAAGAACCACAAATGAAAGAAACTTGCTACAATATTTAGCCTTCCTGCTCCTATGATGCTGCTTGGCCTACTGTGTTCATCGAGCTCTACACCTTGTTATCTCAGATTTTCCAGCATCTGCAGTTCCTACTATCTCTGATACAATATTTATCCTATTTAATTTCATGAATAGTAGGTCAAACAGGATTAGTCTTTAGTCAAGTATCCAGCACAGACATTGCCGGAATTGCTCCCATCTGCTTTCCATTACATTTAGAGAAGATTAATGAAGACAAGACCATCAGGTCACACATTGGAGACACAATGATCAAGATGCAGAGTCTCTCGCTTCCAAAATCATTCAACCAGACTAAATAAAATAAACTAGGAAGAGCAATGTCATCTCATATTTTTATTGATTTAAACAAAAATGAACGCTCCATCCATTATATACACTGTTTACGATGTTTTACATATTCAAACATCCAGCTCCTTAATATGCAATGTACCCAATACATTTAACATCTTGTATTCACCAAATTTCTTTCAATGTAAAGTTACAATTGCAACATTGGATTTTCACATTGATCTGGTTTCATACTTGTGCTATTTAATGGGAGAAGAATGCTACCACCAATCCTCCTTCTTTGACTGGGTCTAAGGACAAATTTGGTTTTTAGTGTAGGCGTTGAGGCTACAAGATGCAGTTATTGCCTAGTAGCAATTAGGTACAGGTTACATTAGTTCATTAGGCATTGTTACTTAGACAACGTAGAAACCTGGGGACATAGGTCTACAGTCTAGGACATCTTAAGATGTTCTCCCCGATTCCCTCTCAAGCCCTATGGCACATCAGGTTGGTGGTGTTTAATGCAGTCTTAAACATGAACCCTTTCAGAATCGCTACTTCACACAATAACATCCAGCCCAATAATGGCAGATTGTAATCACTGCTGCACTTTAGAGAGAAATTGATATCAGCAACTGGCTATGGACAGCGCGTACAATCTGATTCAGAGAGTCCCATCAATAACACAACTCACCTGACAGAGATAACACCCTCCAGTAAGGCTGCAAATCCTATGACGCACAATCACTCCATTTTTGTGAATTAAACATGCTTCCATCCACTGCCACTGGGTTTTTAATTGAAGAAACTTAATCTTCCTATCTCCTGTCATATCATAGAAGCAAGTCATTCAGCCCATCGAGTCCACACTGAGCGTCCAAAGAGTATCCTACCCAGGCCCACCCCCACGACCCTATCCCTATAGCCCCACATTTCCCATGGCTAACCCACTGAGCCTGCACATCCCTGGACACTATGGGCAATTTAGTATAGTCAATCCACCTAACCCGCACACCTTTGGACTGCGGGAGGAAACCGGAGCACCCAGAGGAAAACCACACAAACACAGGGAAAATGTGCAAACTCTATGCAGACAATCTCCCGCGGGTGGAATCAAACCCAGGTCCCTGGCGCTGAAAGGCAGCAGTGCTCACCACTGAGCCACACATATTGCAGTACCAATCACAAGTGTCTAATGGTTGGGGTAGGGTGCTGCTATTGATCTTCCTCTCTATGCTGAGTCTAAGGTCCCATCTAATTAGCCGTGGCAACAGATAAATCTCTATTGAATCTTAATGAGAAGAGTTCCCCTTTCTTAACAACAAAATGTAGCTTATTATGGTATGATCCCAGATGAGATCAACAAGATATGTTATAATCCCGGACAAGACTGGTTAAGCACCAGCTAACTTTATTTTCATTGTAAACTAAAAGTGAGATTCAGGGACTCACTAAGAGAACAAAGCCACAAGATCCACTGTTTTGAACAAAGTCAATGCTTTACTTTGCAAGATAGAGCAGTAAAGGGATGGGTAACTCAGTTGGCTGATTGACTTTGCTTGTGATACTAACAGCATGGGTTTAGCTCCTGCACTGGCTGAAGTTACTATGAAACTTGTTCTCAACCTCTTGCCTCACCTGAGGCGTGGTGACCACTACCAGTCGTCTCTTTCTCTCTCTCCCTCTCTAATGAGAGAGCAGCCCTATGATCTGGCAAGACTATGGTGACTTTACCTTACCTTTAGAGCAATCAAACAATCTGCAGTGGTTGTACAACTTATTTCTAACATCCAGAATTAACATGTGGTAAACATTGGTAATAGACTGCGATCAAACACCCCACAGTGCAGTTTAAATAGTAAAAGTAATCAAGGCACATCCCATGGATTTGTCAGCAATTCCACCCAGACATTAATGATACAGTGGATCATTAAACCTCATTAAACTTCACAAGGGATTATAATCCTTCACTTTTGCTGATGTGACCTTGAAATTTCCTTGCAAGACCTGCTCTATCATGTACTGCCTCAATGACTGCACTTGTTCTGGACAATCACATTTACTTCCTGCATCTATCATCCTGTGTCCTCTTACAAACAGAGCAGAACCAAGAATAGGCAGGCATTGACCCCAATATAGAATGCAGCACAAATATAAACCTTCATGTTTTAAGAAAAGTCGTGGAGAGGGAGCTAAGATACCAAGAACCAAGATAATAAACAGATTAACTAGCTTCAGTACCAATCAGGACATCTTGGATAGCAAGATATGTGCTGGTTTCTGCAGTACTGTGGTATCTGCTGTAATCAGATTGCAACTGGCAAAATGCCACCCAGCATTGGACCAACCACTGGACAGGAATGATAAATGGGAGAGAAAAATGGAGAGAAAATAGATTGCTTAGTACTTTAGCCTTTGTGTTAATCTTCAGCTTCTCCAGCATATTAACTAAATGGGTCCAGTCGAGTGGGCATTTCCTCATTCAGCAACCTGTCGAGGCAAGAAATAATGAGCAAACTGCCTGCAATCTTCCACTTGTTAGAATCATGGAGTGAATCTTCACATCTTTGTGTCAGCCAATGAGTTGGAGGCCAGGTATGATCTATAATTGATTCATTAACTCACAGTCTCCAGATGCATAAGTGGACTATAACAGCCTCCATTAAGTATAAGAACATGAGAATATAAGGACATAAGAAATAGGAGATGGACTAGGCCATCTGGTCTGTTGAGCCTGCTCCACCATTCAATAAGAAGATCGTGGTTGTCCTTTTCGTGGACTCATCTCCACTGACCCGTCCACTCACCATAACCCTTCATTCCTTTACTGTTCAAAAATCTATCTATCTTCACCTTAAAAACATTCAATGAGGAAGCCTCAACTGCTTCACTGGGCAGGGAATTCCACGGATTCACAACCCTTTGGGTGAAGAAGTTCCTCCTCAACTCAGTTCTAAATCTGCTCCCCCTTATTTTGAGTTCGGGAGCTTTATATCGCTAGCAAAATACAATCAGTGGAAGATAGTTACATAATACGTACATGAGTAAAGGAAGCTCCTGTCTCTTATTTTCTGTGAGGTCAATGGAGGAGTTAGCCAAATATCTCTATCTAGTTTGAATTTTTGACGCCACTACACGCAATGCCAAAATTAGCTCATTCTAGGAGCATAACCAAAAGCTTCCTGTTAGCAAGTTTCCAAGATTAACAACATTGAATATCTGATTGTTGTTCTAGGCAGATAATTAGGAGACTTTTAATCAGTGCATCACCATTGTCAGTGGAATTCAGCCAAGCAGCTACAGTACTGAGAAAGTATGGTAGCTATGCTGCCTCAGCTCTGCTGAATCCACACCCAGGTATATTCCCATTCAAACAGTACACCTGGTACCTGCTACAGCTGAACTACAGCTTCATTAAGTAGGCATTGTGAATGCAAATGAGGACTTTTAATGGGTCAGCAGATATTTGTCATTGATCTGAAAAGAGAGTCCATTCCATCCACTAACAAAGAAAAAGCTCAAACCAAATTCAAAATGGCAACAGCAACCAAGTTTTGACGAATGTTTTAACATGTTTTAATGCTTTCATCTGATATGATGTGTTTTAATATATGACTTTGAACTGCGCAATGAACTTAAAGTACAATCATTTATCATCACTTCTGCAGCTGTTGTACAGATATATCCCGTTTGTTAATCAGACCCTGATGGAACTGTTAACGGAATGAGAGAAGCCTGGAATACAAAGGAGAGGAACTTCTCTTTCAGTAGACTACAGCATTGGTCAGGGTCTAGCTGCATTACTGCATTGAGTTCTGAGTACAGGATAGGGCTTAGAAGGGCAAGGGGCAAAGCAGATTGACCAGAATTACCCTGGTGTATATTGTATTGAACATTAAAGATTGAAGGATGATTGATAGAGGCATTTAAAGAATTTGATCAGATAGATATAATGTAATTATTTGCCCCACTGAAGAGCCAAAATAATAGAATTCAAGCTAGGTCATTTAGAAATGAAATAAGGAAGAAGAAATGTAGTGAAAGTCCAGAACTCACCAGCTCAACCCACCCCCATCGTTACAACCCCACTTTCCCTCCCCTCTAACAAAAGACTTAGGATTCTGGGAGAATCTAAACTTTCAAAACTTGACATCAACATAATTTTGTTGTGTAAAGATGTGAGAGACACGTAGCAAAAGTGGGTAAAAACGTACAAATCAGCCAAACATAATTTCAAATATTCCTGAGCCACAGCAAAATAAAAAGTATAGTGACTGATGGTATAGGTAGAGTCATACAGCACGGGAACAGACCCTTCAGTCCAACCAGTCCATACCAACCATAATCCCAAACTAAATTAGTCCCATCTGTCTGAGCTTGGCCCATGTCCCTCCAAACCTTTCTTATTCATGTACCTATCCAAACGTCTTTTAGCATTGTGACTGTACCTGCAACCATCACTTCCTCTGGAAGTTCATTTCACACATGAACTACTCTCTGTGTAAAAAAGTTGCCCCTCATGTCCTTTGCAAATCTTTCTCCTCTCACCTTAAAAATATGCCTCCTAGTCTTGAAATCCCCCACCATAGGGAAAAATCACCTGCCATTCACCTCATCTATGGCCCTCATGATTTAAAAGACCTTTATAAGGTCACCCCTCAACCTCTTACGCTCCAGTGAAAAAAGTCTCAACCTATCCAGCCTCTCTTTATAACTCAAACGTTCCAATCGCGGTGATTGCAAAATGTATTCTTTTATCGTTGATTACGTCAAATCGCCAAACAGATTACTAATAGTAATCACACCTCATCACCAAATCTCAGCAATCAACTGTGATCACCACCAATCATCATCAATCATGATCATTCTTGATCACAAATGTCATAAATTATGATTATCGTCTATCACCAGTTATTATTGATCAAGATCATCATCAATCACTGCTCGCCATCAATCTTTGATCATGAATCCCTGATTATCTTCGATCATCACTGATCTCTGGTCAGCATAAATCACAATCATCAGTAATCACTGATCGTCATTGATCACCTGAGGATAGAATGGATATTCCTGGAGGGGTTCATTCCTGTCAGGCAATTAGCACTTAAAGAGACTTCCATGGGCTTGAGTCAGAGAAATTTGGGCTTACGATGAAAATGAGTTGATGCAAACTACTCTTGAATTAAGAAAAGGGTGGAGGGCCACCACAAAGAGCTATCTGCCTATATTGAAGAAGATCTGTCATCATCATTTAAAGTTCAGCAGGGGACACTGATTTGACTGACAAACCTCTTCCACAACCAGGTCAACTGTTTCTACTTTAACCACTGCAGCCTTGAATGTAGCTGTGAAAAGTTCCATTTTAAATTGTTTCAGATGAGAGCCATCAAATCAGTGATATAAATTACAGATCATTGATGGCTTGTTTGCTCATTTTACAGAAATCATTACTTTTCCAAAATTTAGACATCTCACAGCAGGAGAGATCACTTCATTTTTTTCAAGCTGTCTGGCTGTCTGGGATCTCAAGTGGGTTTGCGTCATGTTGTTATAAGTTTAGGAGCCCCTCTCAAGTATTGACACCTTAACATTAGGTCAGAATTTATGAATGGAGAGGCATAGGCATCCATGAGATTATAATCAGAGTGTGTTATAGCTGTGTTGGAAAAAACAATTTCTCCACGGGTTTCTTCAGATGTGCAACAAAACATCAATGAAACATTGGAGTTTATGATGGGGTTTAAGCTAAAGTTGCAGATTAAGCCCCAAAAGAATTCATCCCAGAATAAATTTCATTGCGTGGAAATGTGGGATTGCCTATGACACTGTCCCAAGAAATTTGCAGACTTGTAGTGCTAGCAAAAGAAGAGTTCCCACATAGCAAAATAAAACAAATGGTCCAGGGGAAGAGGACGTGGAAAAGTTGCCAGGCCTGCTGGATCTGCAATAAGGTCGTCAAATCTGACAATATCTAGTATATAACCATTTCAATTCAAAATCAAAGGTTACCCCCTGCTCCCAGCATAAGTGTTGCCAACTATACTCCTCATGAGATATCTCACTGAATCCCATTCACATCATTAGCCTCCACTTGACCTCTCAGCTGTTACCTTTCACTCCTTATGCAGAAATGCATCATTATCCTCACCCCGGCCTAACTCCCAACCTTGCCCCCAAGCCAAAAGAAACACACAATTCATTCAAAACCCAATACCAATCAGGACAAGAGTAGGCCATTCAGCTCCTCGAACCTGTCCCATCACTCAGTCAGATCATGGCTGATTTGTAGCTTCACCGTATCTTAACATCATTGACCAATTTCGCTTCATTAGCCCTTCATACTCTTGTCTGACAAAAAACTATAGGGGCATTCGCGACTTCAGGACATCCCAGATCATTTCACAGCCAATAAAATAATTTTGAAGTGATAGAGTCATAGCATCATCCAGCACAGAAACAAACTCTTTGGCACAGCATGTCCATCCCAACCAGGTTTCCTAAACCAAATTAGTTCCATTTGCCTGCATTTGAACCATATCCCTCTAACCATTTCCTATCAATATATCTGTCCAAATGTCTTTTAAATGTTGTAATTTTACTCACTTTTACCACTTCCTCTGGCAGCTTGCTCCATATATGCACCACCCTCTGTGTGAAAAAGTTGCCACTCAGGTCCTAACGATATAGTGATTATTACAAAACAGTAACCAATGTGCAGATAGCAAGCTCCCATGTATAGTAATTCACTAAATGGCCAGATCATCTGTTTTTAGCAATAATATTCAATGGGTAAATATTAGCCAATACAATTTCAAAATGGAATAATGTCAACAGGTACCATGGCTCACCCGATATCTCCCATTATTAGGGCATCAGTCACATCTGCTGGCTTAGTCTCAACTACTCAACAGTGATAATAGGGAATATATATGATAGTGCCCACAGTTAGTTCAACAGAGTTACCTATATAGGACTCTCAGAGGGGCACTTTATCCCTTTAAGCCTGGCCTGGATTTGAACCTAAGTCCCCTGACAAGCAAACCAAAAGGCACATCTCATAATAATACGAGCACTTGGAACATAAGCTTTTGGAAATAGGTTGAGCAAATCTTCCAAAGCCTGTGTGTAAATATGTTGAGTGAATAATCAGAGAAATTCAAATTGGAAAAAAATATAATTTTGGAGCACAGCAGAATAGAAAATGTACTCAAGTGGGAGAAATGTGTATAGAATGCATCTGATTCTTCAGTCTGACTACTAACATAAGTATACTCGGAATCAATTCCTCAAACTCTCCAGACCCTTATTCTGGGGAATATCTAATGTACTTCCAGTCGTAATTTCTTAATTAAGTCACTGTTGGTTTAGAAACCCACACTGAGCTGGCTTTTTTTTCCTGTATAAATTTTTATAAAGAACTATCTATTGGGTGATATTAAATTAACGTAAGACTTGTATTTGTTGGAAAAAGGTTGTGTCTGTTAACCTCCATATTCATTTAACGGCCTTCTGTCCATTTCCATATCTGTCTACTAGTCTGTTTCCTGATCTGTCTGTCTGCCTAACTCTCTGTCTGTCTACTTCCCAGTCTATCT